CTTTTTTTTTTTTTTTTTTTTTTTTTTTTTTGCAGCTGGCTGATATGGGACCGGAACCTTGACCTTGGTGTTACAAGGCTGTGCTCTAACCAACTGATAACCGGCCAGCCCATTTACAAAATTATTCTTTGTTGATACATTTAGTGCAATGATTAACAGGAAAAGGGGATAAAGTGAAAGAGATCAAGAAATAATTTTGAAATCTAAAAAAAACGTTTGTTAAAAAACAATAGGATAGGTAAGGGGAACAACCTGACTACCCATACAAAAAACTCCCAAAGGACCATAAATTAAAAGAGAATATAAGATATGAGTTTAAGAAAAACATTGCCCAAGTAGCAGATAAAAAATTGTGAAGAATTTAAAGGGGATGGGTCAAAAAGTGAAAATAGGGTGTGAAATTCAATGAATTAATCAGAAACAGGAAAGCAACATCTGAGTATGCAAGGAGGAACAAAACGTAAAAAAGGTTTATAAATGTTACTACCTTCCTATCTGTATTTTACTTTGGCCTCTCTTAGGGAAATGTCACGAAGCTCAGTCAGAGTCTGGCTTCTGAAGTAGAGAACTGGGTTTCCATCCTGGCCTTTGGGCAGTTCCTGGCACCGAACAAGTGAACTGAGCTCTCCAAGCTCTAGTGTCAATGTTAAGGAAGACAACAAAATGGCCTCATGGGACCACTGCTTGATTTAAATGCAGGAAAAGAGTAAAATACCTAGTATGGAGAAACTGTTAAACAAATGAGCTATTATTATTATTACCATTAACAATGTTGAAATCAACTGATATTAGAAAAGGGGGCTGAACGTAAGATATCAGAACAAAAGGTCCTCGCCACTGGGTTATCAGACAATACAGCTCTTTCTGGGTGCTGGGTACTCTTTATTAAGTGCTTTATTAAGACAGACTCATATTTCTTCCAACAACCCCATAATAAAGTAAACATATCATTCTCACTTTACAGATAGGAAACTGAGGCACAGAGAGATTAAGTATCTGCCAGAGGTCAGCTGATATCCAATAGAAAAGGAATTTAAGCTCTTGTAGTCTGTTCCCAGAGTTTATGCTTATAACCACCATGGCTACTGGTCCAGATTTAAAACGTCAAAGGTGCATATTACTGAATTACCTAATGTGATGAGAAAACTTAGAAAAAATGGTAAGAGGCTTAAAATTAGGGAAAATGTCTACTAAAGGTACAGAGAAGAGATGGGTTGACAATAGGAATTAACAACTTGGGTATTATATTGAAAAGATTATTACAAATTGGTGTGTTAACTAATTTACACTATTTCTCATTAAATTGAATTTACTGAGATATGCAAAAAAAAAAAAAATACAGAAACGATTCTGCCAAAAAATCTAACTTTATTTGTAGGAACATCAAAGAATAATAATATATATAATTACCTTAATTTTATTTTAAAGTGCTTGGAGTCTTAATCAGTGATATCACTATATTAGGAAAAAAAGAGGTTGGGCTATGAAATCTAAGATGGGTCAACAACTTGCACAAAGACCATATTTAAAAAAATCACAATTACATTCATAGTTTTGGCCTTGACCAATGGCCCTTCAGAAGCATAATTCATGAATCCGTTGTTTAAACTTCTTTTAGGTCATGATAAATAAGATAGCTGATGAGAATTTCAAAATACAAAATCAGAATTCCAATTGGTACTACTAAATTGAAATAAAATAGAGTCTGATCAGTGCAATAAAAATAATGTAAAATACCAATGCAAACGGGTAGAAAAATCATGCTATATTAAAGGACAGGATATATAATCATATAGAAGGAAATGTGGGGGACTCTAATAGATCTCAAACCAACCATCAGTAATGTAATGATGTAATTCCTTATTTTTTTTAAGCATACATAGAAAACAATCCCATGGCTTCATGAGATCATTGTTTACTTTAAATGAATGGAAAGTGTTAAATATCTAATGTGTTGAAAATGTTTAAAAATGAGCTTCTATTATGATTTCAATGTGAAATCAACTGTTATTAGAAAAGGAGATTGTGCATAGGACACCGGGATGAAATGCCATAAAGATTCATGGTGCAATTCTCCCCCCTTTTTTTTTTTTTTCCTTTTTGTCTTTTTTTTTTTACTGAACGGTAATGGGATCGCAACCCTCAGTGTCATGCCCGCACCGGGGACCGGCAACGGGATCGCAACCCTCGGTGTTGCGCCCACACCACGCTCAGCCAGTGAGTGGGAACCGGTCTCCACATGGGATCCGAACCCTCGGCGGGAGCGCCACCGCACCCCCAAGCGGCGCACTCTCCAGTGCGCCACCGGGCCGGCCCTAATTCTCCCCTTTTTGGCTTGACTAGTTAGACCCTGGTGTGGCTTATGCAAATCAGGACTCTCCATAAATCCGGATAAATGAGCATTGG